TTATACGCACTGCCTTCGAGACGAGACCAACTGGAAGTCTAGTTCAATTAAGGAATGTATCAGTTTTCGATGGGCTTCAAATGAACAATTGGCTGTCGATAGAGAGACGAGAAGACCTCGGAGCAAGGTGAATTTAGGAGGGAAAAACCCCGAGAGGTTTTACTGCAACCGAGTTGACCAATGCTGGGGCTGAAGCAAACGGCGAGTCGACAGAGCGCAAACGCCTAAGAGGTGAGGCTGAGCCCCGTTTAGTTGAGCAGGGAAGATGGCGATACATCTCCAAAGGCCCTTTCGGTCCCGTGTCAGCCAACATATTGTGGTAGTGAGTTGGTTCATCCGAGTTGAAGTGCGAGTCGATCGGAATGCTGCCCTCCAAGAGTCGGGTCAACTTTCAAGACAACCGAACCAACACTGGCGAATACATCTTCCGTTTGGTGGTTGTCTCCTCTCCCTTTATCCACCTGATTTTGTCTATTTTTCACAACTCAGCCGTGCTGTCATGGTAGACTCGAAGAACGCACTCCGTTTTGCATCCTCTATCATTTTTGTCAAGGCCATTTACCGAAGTGTATCCAGCCAACCGTCTGATTGTGGCATACAGCATAACACCAACACCAGAAGACGCAGTACGGGGTACATTTTTCTTAGTCTTCCTGAAGGCACAAGCTCACATTAACTCAAAACCGACAAGAGACAAGCCTTCCGCCGGCCTTCGGAGACATCTGCCTACGAGATCCAACCCAATTTGTATGGGCATAGACGAGCCTAAACGAGGCAGAGCATACAAAATTACCAATAAGTGAATATAAGTATGCATCTGAATTAGCGATACTGATGACTACATAGAAGAATACTTTGGGCTCAACCAACTAACATGCCGTAAAATTTAAAATAATTTTACAAGTTGCGTTGCCCACAAGGCGGTGAGGAGAAGTTTAAATTGGTCAGTGAATTTTGAGCTACCATCAAGCAATGAGTGGACGAAGTGGGCGAAGAAAGAGACCAAAAGAATCTCAGAGCATAGATTGCCTGAGGAAGCAGTTAAGCTGGAAGTCAATGGGGATGGCGAGGCTTTATGCTAATTGTTGCAGTACCATCCCGAATGTACGAAAAAAGTGGTCTTTTGGTGCCGGCACTCAGCGCTCGACCACGTGAGGAAGACGTTTTTGGCGCACAGCTTTGGCCAATTGAGGGCTGTTTGCCGAGCCAAGCTGTAGAGTGACCAGACGAGCCTGCAGAAATGAGTGAATCGTGAGGTTAAAGGTGGCCAAGTCGTCCAGCTCAATTACCTGAGGCAAGATGATGTGTGAAAGGGGCGGAAGAGAAGAGCATTAACAAAAATCTATTCGCCAAGACAATAGACAGGGAGTACACATCATAAGAACCCGAGGAGTAGTGAAATAACTTGCTCTCATTCTTACAAAAATGTCAAACTATCACCAAATTAAGAGGGTCAACTTGCTCTTATACACAAGCTGAATAAGCTCACGGTAATTATAAAAAGGAAAGGAAATGAAATAAAATACTTAGAGGTACAGAGTGACGTGGATACTTCCTTTTCATGTTAGTCCATGTGAATGCCTATTTGAGTGTGTGTGGCCGAGCCTGTATGAATGGTCTTAATGCTGAATATATACAGACAAAAGCTGTTTTTCAAAGAACCTCTTGGCTTATTTGTGCTGAGATGATTTGCATTTTGAGAAAAATTTCGTGAAGATATTCGCTTTGGTCTTTCCCGCTACAAGACATTAGCGGACCTTTATTGGTCAGCTGTAGTCTGGCTTCATTGGAACCTTCTGGTTGATGCCCCAAAGCATGGGGCATGGCCCAAAAGAAACATCATCGGTTCCACTGAAGACGTCTTTCACGCCACCTGACAGATTTAGAGAACATTTTCATCGGGTATGGCTAAGTTGGTTTAAGGTAGTTTTTAGAGAGGCGTATTTCTCTAATCATTTCGGCCAGGTGGCGAACAGGAGCAGGTTAAGCACACTTTTAATGGGGTAACATAACGTTTTCCCGGTTTCTGCACCAACTGGGACATCTTGGTCTACCCATGGGGAGTCCTTCATCATCTGTCTTTGAGATCTCAACACACATTTTTTCATCTCATGCTTTCATTCGAAATGGAAATGAGCTGAGTAAATCTGAGAAGTATTCACCCTATTTCGTTTGAGGTGACGAAGGACTGGTAGTAGAATTTACCCACAATGATCTACCGGTAGTCTCGAAAAACCACTTATAAACGAAAATTTGTGTGTATAAACATGAGCTTGAAACAAATTTATTGCCTAGGCTCTACTTGAGCGTGATCATGAAGAGATCTCATCGCGAATTCGATACATTGAGGCCTATACATACTTAATGTTTGCTTGGCACAACCTATAAGCCCATGTAAACCAACGATAGAGATATTTTTTGCTATCAGTCAGAAAGCGGAGGACATGGCCAGCTGATCAGTATACTTAGCCAATATTATTCATCACAGAATTTCAACATCATCTATCACATTCCTTTGCTAGAATAAGTGACACTCATCAATCAGATTATGGAAGAACAACTTAAGAACATTGTTAGGGGGACCTTCAATTAGAATGAAAGTGCATGAAGAAAAGATTCGTTGGTCAATCTCACCAGATGAGGACGGATGAAATTCGTTGTACTGCAGCCGTTTGGCTTTTATATGATATTCATGTT